GCCGCCCGCTCACCTCTTGGCCTGCGCGCCCGCGCCCGCGGGCAGGTAGCGCGAGCAGGCCACGCCGTCCCACGCGCAGTAGGGGTCCCGCGCCAGGCAGCAGTCCGCGCAGGCGCTGCCGTACAGCTGGCACTGGTGGAGGCGCACCTGCGCCACGGCCTTGGGGGACGCGACGAACAGCTGCTGCTGTGGGGTGGACAGACAGACAGACGGACGGACGGACAGTCAGGCGAAAGTGCAGAGGGCCGAGGTGGACGCGCGGAGAGCCAGCACGGCTGGCCGCGGCCTGAAGGCAAAACCCTCCTGGCGGGACTTTAATGTCACATCCCCAGCGGCTGAACCCGCGAAGGGACTGGGACACGAAATCCGGGCAGTGTGCGCGGGAGCTCATTTGGGATGGGTGTACCCCGAGTTCTGCTCTCAGGGAAGACGCGCGTGGGGACGGGAGCCGCTGCACCCGCCCGCGTAACTGTTGTCACAACCATTACAAAAAAACAAAATTAGTAGATGGTAATTAGAGAATAGTGACTCAAGATTCTAGAAGTAAAACTTAGCTTATCACCCCTGCTATCCAAACCAAGGGAAGATGCACTACAGGTAAGAGCTGCCGGACAATACTGCACCTGGAGTCAATAATAGTGTATTGGGAAGTTTAAACATTAAAAACGATGGCTCTCACTTACAACTTATCAATACAATAAAATGACAATGAAAAAACAAAACTCTATCTTGTTCATATACAAAAAATATCTATAATGTTCTTATATCCTTTGGTCACATATAGATTCCACACACAAATATATACAACTTACTCTCTTTGAAGAAATCTCCATAGAAATAATGGGAACTGGATCCTGAAATTTAAACACAAAACAGTTTCTTTTTAAAAGAACATATAATAACATCTACCTGAATATGATTTTAAACTATCTGAAATCAAATTAGATATCAAGTTAGATATACGAGTGCTTCTAAGCCTAGATGCTTACAGCTTCCATTTTTGGTAAATCAATGTGTAAATCCAGTTAAATTGAACTATACACTTAAACGTTTCCCTCAAATAGGGTGGAAGAAGTGAAGATGGCAAACACAGCAGGCGGTCTAGGGAGGTTATCAGTTGTCTCTACGATGGAAAACTTGTATTTGCATTTGAAGATTACTTTGGAAACTTAAGTATAACAAGTAACAAAGCCACAATGTTTTTTATGGCATACACCAGCCATTAGTAAAATCACGAAGCCTTAGCGTGGATGTTACTGCTTAGGCATCATGACCTTGAGCCGGAGCAAGCTGAGCCTAACCACCCTCTTCTGCTGGCCTGAGCGTGGTCTGTGAACAGGGTGCGCTGCACGTTTTCGTAGCACTGACTGAGGAAGGACAGCAGCACACGGCACAGTGTCGAGCCCTCAGGCATTATCTTAGCAATGTGGGTTAGGACTACAACCACTTTACGGAACAAGAGGAACTAAGGTTCGATCACCCACATCACGTGCGGTGCCGGACCCGCCCCCATGCACACTGAGCAGCCACCAAGTCCAGGCACGGCGGCACACTCCTGTAATCCCAGCGCTACAGAGGCTGAACACAGGAGGATCACTAGAGTCCAAGCTGGGAAGTGAGACCCTATACCAAATACATTAAAAAAAAATGAGGAACTAAGACCAATTCTGCATGTAGAAAAGCACTATGTAGGTGAGATCCATTCAGGGCAATAACCTTTGAAGAATCACTTTTTAAAGGAAAAAATTTTATTTTCTGTGTAAGCATTTTTGGAAAGTATATTTTAAACTAGAGAATCTGTCATACGTTCATGCATTATTTTAAATTTCCAGAACAGGGGTTAGAACCCAAGTTCATCTCACTGAGCAGGATCCTCAGCCCCTTTTTAGTTTTTAGTTTTATTCTGGGTCATGGTCTCACTAGGCCCTTAAGATGCCAACTTTGGGCTCAAACTTGTGATCCTCCTGCCTCAGCCTCTAAGAGCCCTATGATAACAGGCCTGCGCCACCACGCTTGGCTCTACAGCGTCCATCTGTTCGTTCAGGCAGCAGTTCTCCTGAAAGGCTTGAGAAGTCAGAGTGCTGGGTACTGTTCACATGGGAGCTAAGACCACTGATAGGAGATGAAATCCTACACAGAGGCTCCAAATGGAGACGCACAGAAGCACACAGCTGCCCCACCCATGAAGGAAGATGACCTTCTCGGCCTGCAGCTCTGGGGAATCCAGGCTCCAGGGCAGACACACCTGATCTCCAGGACAGACACGTGTATCCCCTGCACCGATCTATGTCTAGGGGGCCAGTCCTAATAAAGTGTGGACTTCTTTTGCAAATTTACCTCCACCTTAAAAGTAACCCATGACACACACATATGCACACACTTCTGTATTTCTCCTTCATGAGTATGCACACACACAGAACAGCCATGAGTCCAGACTACAGCCAGCACCCTGGCAGCTGAAATCAGGGTGGTGCTCCTGCTAACTCAGTGTCTTCTGAAGGAACTATTTAGCTCACAAAACCTGGTGGGTTTTTAGTGCTTGTCTGGTTAAAATGGCCTCAGAGCCCGGGCTGAGGTGCTGGTTAGCACGTCCAGACTCAGGCAGGGGCGCACCTGAGGGAAGAACACATTTGGATCATAGGGCTCCATGGAGGCATGAAAGGTTGGGCTGCTGCAGTGAGCTCACGGGCAGCAGCCTGCAATGTGTGCTAAGATAGCATGGAGCAGAAGACGACGTGAAGCAGGCTGACGCACTGGCCGGCGGGACATGTTGCTAGCAGAGATCTACAGGGCCCTCACCACACAGCCCCGTCAGGAGCCGGGTCAGGACTCCCCGTGGCCCAAGGACCATCACTCCTGCAGCGCGAGGCACCCAGGGGGACAGTCCCAGAGTGTGTGATGCACACACCTATCAGTTCACACTCGCTTGTTTGTCCTGGGAGCATGTCCTTTATTTTCTATGTCTCTTCTCTAGCAAATCTTTTGTGTAGTTGGTATAAATAGCTCAAAGCCGTGTGACTGTCCTTCACAATATTCAGCGTATGAAGATGCGTGTTTCATCAGCACCGATACCACGTTTACAAGATGTGAGTTTGCAGCCGTAATTCCAGAGCTCACACGTGCGTAAGTGCTGTGGGTTCCAGTACCTGTGTGTGCACAGACGTCACGCTCGGGCCCAGCAGGGCCCTTCTGCCGAGCAGGCTATCACCGTCACATGAGACTGGCTAGGATCTTAAATCATTCTTCCCTTCCACTTGTAAATTCACAACACAGCTCTTGGGAAAGAACAGTCTAATGTAACACACTCCTGTCTAATTCTCCACTGTGATCATCTACAGTGCATATATTGGATTAAATTTTAAATAAATGTACCTTGAATATTTGAAGTTCTTCTAGAATTACTTCCTCCATAGATTCTGTTTCTTGGTTGTAAATTGTGATGATTTTCAGGACAATTCCAGCATCTGCAAGAATTAAATGAGAAGATAAACTAGAAGCCCTACTGCAAGCTGGTTTTGAAATAACTGAAAACTATGGAAGGACCATGAATACAAATAAATTATGAAGTCCACATGCATGAAATGTCATAAGAACCACCAGTTCAAAGTCACAAGATTAAGTATTTATTCATATTTTCAATAGAAAACATTGATTTATATGCCTAACCAAACATTAAAAGTTGTATTCACATACTTTGGCATAAAACTTTGACTATAAGTTCCAAGGTCAAATTGTATTTTGGAATTAGGATATACGAAGATGAGAATATTACAGTTTCTGTGATACGTGAGGCACAGAAACTTTCTGCTTGCCACTTTCTTGGTGACAAGCTATGCTTATGACCTTGAGGGACATCCCAAGCCATGCACTACAGAAAGCACAAATACTTTGCTTTGGCTTGATGTTCGCTAATGCAGTGCTACAGACTGCACCCAAGGGCCCCCGCGCGCTGGCACGTGCCCTGCCCCCGAGCCGCACACCCAGGGGCCCCCGCGCGCTGGCACGTGCCCT